ATTCAAGTGTGATGGTTAATTTTCTGTGTCGACTTGACTGGGCCACAGGGTGCCCAGATTAAACATGGTGTCTGGCTGCCTCTGGATGGTCTTTCCAAAGGAGACTGGCATTTAAATGAACGGGCGGACTCAGTAGATGACCCTCTCCAATGTGGGAGGGCATCATCCAATCAGCTGAGGGCACAAATAGAACAAAAGGTGGAGGAAGGGAGATTCCGCGCTCTCTCTGCCTCACTGCATAGCTGGGACATCGGTCTCCTGTCCTGGGACCGGGACTGACACCATCAGCTCCCCCAGTGTCATTCACCGGCCCTCAGGCGCTCAGACTCAGGCTGAATTACACCACCGGCTTTCCTAGGTCTCCAGCTTACACATGAAGCTCGTGGGACCTCTCAGCCTCCAGAATTGTGTATACCAATTCCTCATAACAACCTTGTTGTATATACACTGATATATACCTTTCCTATATATCTATGTCCTAGTGCCTCTGTGTCTCTGGAGAACCCTAATACGTCAAGCATGGTTCACGTGCTGTTTAAGGAGTTGGAAAGGTTCAACACAATCAGGCAAACCAAATCTGTAGTTGCAGTTTAAGTGGAGACAATTTATTTAAATTCACAATAAATGTTTAAAGGCTCAAGAAAAAAACAGTGTTCCCTTTTTTCCTTCCTGGATAATTCAGTCAAAAAAAGGACCAGGCGAGGCCAAGAGTGAGGACGTTGGCCAAGCAAAGTCGGGAGATGGGTTACCTGTGAGATGACTGCGGAGCTACATAAGTGCAGGAAAGACAGCGGCGGCCAGGCTTTCCCTGCTGAGAAGGGAGCTACAAACACGGGAAGAGGGAAAGCGAGGATGTGCTACTAGACGCGAATTGGGAATATTGATGTGAACTTCTGATTTTCAGTAACTACTATAAATATAAGTGTCAATGCAAATGTATGAATGCATATTTATACTTACACACACAAATATATTTCATAACCTTGAGAGGCCTGGGAGCAACAACCACCCCAGTAGCAATGAGCATACTTTCCATAAATAACCA